CTGGCCACCCCACTGCAGGATGGCAGTTTTGAAAATGAGGAATGCCCTCCAAAGAGGATGACTTTAGATGACATGCAGACCCTGTTTTCAATCAAGGAGAGAACTCGGTATTTCTCTTCAATGTTCTTATCGTGTAACATTTAGAATGTGCCAGGCCTTTTTAAATCATTCATTCTTTGAACACTCCCAACAATCCTAATGGGAAATACTATTTATGAACCCATTTTACTAATGTGACAGCTGTAGCAAGAAGTTTAAGTAACTTGCTCCACATCACAGAGCTGAAAACTTGTCACTGATTTGAGTCTAGCCAGCCTCTCAAGAGGTGTCCATGATCAAGCCTTCCTTTGGCCTAGGTTTGTTGTCAGCACTTCTCTATTGAGGGTTTTTTGTTTGTTTGTTTGTTGTTGTTGTTGTTGTTGTTGTTGTTGTTTTTTGACACGGAATCTCCCTGTATCGGCCAGGCTGGAGTGCAGTGGCTCGATCTGGGCTCACTGCAACCTTTGTCTCCCGGGCTCAAGCAATTCTCCTGGCTAAGCCTCCAGAGTAGCTGGGACTACAGGCGTGTGCCAAGATGCTGCTTTCTTCTGAGCTGGCTCAGGTGCAGGACCCACCTGCAAGGAAGAGAAAAAGGCAGTGAGCAGTGACTGTGGTGCAGGGTTAGGAGCAGGCCTTTAGCAGGCTCCTGCTCAGTGCACGGGAAACCTGGTACCTTGTTCTGCTCGGGCACACGGAAGCCCAGCCCCACCTTTTCTCCACACAAGCTCAGATGGGCAGGCGCCCTCCTAATTTTACTCCATATGGCCTTATGTCAGGAATCCTTCCTGCCTCCCATCCACCTCAAGCAACTCTAATGCTGGACAGAGCACTGGGTCCCAGCTCAGGACCCTACTGGCGATCTGGGTGACCCGGAGGAGGGCAGTTTGAGCCTCAATCTTCTCGACTCAGAAATGGGAGACGCTGGGAAGATGACAACATTCTAAGTGGTGATGAAGGCGCTTGGCAGGGAGAAAGCACGAGAAGTGCAAAGTAAAGGAGGCCGCTTTAGGAAGAGCTCAAAATGCACCTCCCTCCTGCCCCGAGAACATTCTATCCTCTGGAATGAAAATGGAGATCCTAAGGCCCGGAAACCCCGCATCTCTTACTAGTGGAGTAGGAGCACTTGGGGTACATTTCGAGAGTTGCAGCTGAAGTTTCTAAGAGAGTGGCGCAGAAGGAGTGGAGCAGGTGGGAGGCGTGGTGGATTCTAGGAACCGGGAGCTCAATTTATAGTTAGGGGGCCCGGTGCAGAGCACCTCCTCCCCCACCCCCAAGCGGAATCCCCTGCGCCTGCGGTTCTGGGTTGTGATGTGCGCAGCAGGCGAGTCGGGCTCACCATCCCCTGAATGCAGCCTGGTGGGCCCCCGGGGGACGCCCCTTTGGTGCCCGCTCGTGCGGTAGGGGCTGTGCTCCTGGAGGTACGTGACATTCCCAGGTGGTAGCGTTTTCCCCATCCCCGCCCCGCACCTTCGTCATCAGCTTTGCCTCTCCCGGGTCCGTGTGCAGCTTCACCCTCGTGCTCACTTTCTTCATTGGCGGGAGCCTGGAGCAGAGAAAGTGAGCCGTGCGCAGATGTGCGGGATGGAGGTGACTTTGGTTTCTTCCCCGCCCTCCCCACCGCATTGCCTGTCGCTCTTCCCACCTAGGACCCTCAAACTCCTTCCCCCGGGGATCAACCTCTCTCTTTTCCTTCCATGCTGTCATATAACATTTAGATTTTGCCAGGCCCCCTTAAATCATTGGTTCTTTGAACCCTCCCACAATCCTAAAGGGGAATGCTATTTATGAGCCCACTTTACTAATCTGACAGCTATACCAAAAAGTTTAAGCAACTTGCTCAACATCAGAATGGAAAAGTTGCCACTGATTTGAATCTAGCCAACCTCTCAAGAGAAAGTGTCCATGATCAGGCCTTCCTTTGGCCCGGGTATGTCATCAGCATTTCCCTATTGCTGGACATGTTTTAAACAATGTCAAGCCACAAGCTGAATCATGAGCTGTGACAAAAGCAATCTATAACTGCAATATATATACACAGACATACAACACACATTTATACTTCTTCTGACTACCTTCTATGTGTGGAATAAGACTGATTTTCATTTTCGCTTCTGGAAAAGAGTTTGCTTTAAGTGAATATATATTTAGGAAAATATTAATAATTTCAATATTGTATGTTAAGTAAAGTACAGTGACTGTGAGGGCAGAAATGATATTCTTTTTGATCTGACTTGAGGCGTGGAATCATGCTTATAGGTTTATATCCCTAATGTTAGCAAATGTCCCTTTGATCACAGGACACATGTTCATGTAGTAGATGAGAATAACAGGATACACAAGTGAGCACATCTGGCCTGGCTGTTTTGTCTGTGGGTAAATAAATATCCCCCATGCGATGTATAATGAGCAACAGTTGATGTTATACATGACTCACTGTTTGCCAGGCACCATTCTAAGTTCTTTACATGAATTAAATCATTTAATTTTACAAGTCAGATATTATTATACTCCAGTTGATGAGACTGAAACACAGAGGTTGCGTCACACACGAAGTGGCAGAGGTGGGATTTGCACTCATGCAGGCTGACTGCAGTATCATGTCCTTACCCCGTGCTCTATGCCACCAAGTCAACACAAAGATGAGGACGCTGAACATCTGGCCGGGAGGCTGCTTTGGAAGCACATTGAGTTGCAGTCAGATGGCTGTGTATAGCCATGACCTCTCTGGGCTTCAGTTCCTATCTCTCAAGTGAAGAGCAAAATTTGTTCATCTCCAAGGTCCCTTATAGCTTTGAACTAAGATGGGCAGGGTTTGGCATCCAGGGATGCCATGATCTGCCAGCTGTAGGGAGGGCCAGAGGCCAGTTGTACCATAGGTTCATTCATCCGTTTCCTTCTCAGCTGTGTGGCATTGGGCAGGTTGCTTTATTCCTCTGAAAGACGATTCAAGCACGCCAGCCCCTGAATATTTTCTGTCCCTGTCCTGAAGCTTGTGACCTTCATTTAACAGGTTGCATGAAGGTTAAATGACATGAAGGATGGGAAAGGACTTTATGTGTGTTCAAATGTTGGGACAGCATCTTATCACAGAGGACTTTCTGCAGGAGGACATCCACACTCCTCCTAGCACTGGATCAGCTGGGGATGCAACCCCTCCACAGCATCCCATCGAGAGCAATGCTTCCAAGCCAATGAGAACTTCTCCAGGGACAAGGTAGAGTTAATGGTATCTTATTCCAAGAAAGTCAGTGCGGAGATAATGATCATAGTCACCTTTGTTTATTAAAACCTAGGCAGCAACCAGGCCACTCTCTCATTTTCTTTTTCTTTTCCTTTTTTTTTTTTTTTTTTTTAAAGACATTGTCTCGTTCTGTTGCATAGCCTGCAGTACAGTGGCACAATCTTGGCTGACTGCAGCCTCTATATCCTGGACTTAAGCCGTCTTCCCATCTCAGCCTCCAGAGTAGCTCAGACAGACACAGGCCACCAGAGCCATATAATTTTGTATTTTTTGTAGAGACGGGGTTTCTCTATGTTGCCCACGCTTGTCTCAAACTCCTGGGCTCAAACAACCTTCCCACCTCTGCCTCCCAAAGTGCTGGTATTACAGGCATGAGCCACTGTGCCCGGCCCACCCTCTCATTTAATCCCTGCATTGAGAATAATCTCCTTTCTACAAATGAGGCAATAGATGCTCAGAGAGTTTGGGTGACTTGCCCAAACCACACAGCCAGTAAGTGGTGAAGTGGGCTGTGAACTAGGACTGCCTGGCAACTAAAACTATGCCCTAGGTGTTGGCTGCCTCCTGAAATTCCTTCACAGGGAAGCAGCAGGTAAGTGTAGTCCTGACTTCTAGGCAAGGAGACTCATCTTCCTCTTTGATTGAACATCAAATAGCATCCCTCCCACAAATGGAGGCACTAACTTGTCATTAACAAGACATCCAGGGACTGTTTCCTTCCTAAGGAACATTGCCACAATCAGCCAGCTGCACAATCTGCCATAGTTGTGTTCTGAGAACTTCTGTAAATAAACTAATATTAATTATGGAGATGAAGAAATGAAAAGCAACATTTCAAAATAACTTCATCTGCAACCCATGATCACACTACATCTTGCTGGGAATATGCTGGTTTGAAGTAGTCAAGGGCTGGAGCTTGAAAGAGGAAAAAATTCAGCCTGTACTTGGGAGGAACTTCCAAAGATTCAGAGCCAACTCCCAACAGGGAGCTCTCAGGGTTCAGCGAGTGTCCTGAGTGTGCTGTCTGTGACGCTGGCTAGGCCAAGCCTGATGGTTCCTCATGAGAATGTCCTGGCCTGTGCTGCTGAAGGTGTGTGGTCCACAGTGGGGCCAGTCTGCTGTCTCCAGTCTGCAATGCAAATCATCCATGAACATATGTACAGAGTTTGTAAATCTTCCATTTTTCTGTTATTTCTGTATGTATTTATTGAGTTTTTTTGTGTAAAATGTAACAAGTGGGTTCTATATTTTGTGTTTCATTATCTTCATAATTAATATTACTTTATTTACAAAGGTTTAGATCTGGGATGGATAGAAAATGAAAACTGTCTCTTCGCCATAGAGTTTGAGAAGCCCCGTGTAGGATTCAAGCAACTCAGGCATTGGAATCCACCCACTGTGGTCACTTTCAAGCCTAAAATCTGCTGAAGAACTGAACTTGGTCAGGGAAACCTGAAAATAAACATGAGGAATGGAGAAGTCCCTGTGCCACATTTAACATGATTGGAGCTGATCACGTATGTCCCCATCCTCATATGATCCGGCACAGTGCAGGTACATTTTACAGAAGATAAAGCTCAGTGAATTAACGGGGCTTGCCTGAAGGCGTTCAGACCACTAGGGGCTCACATTTCCGTCCAGAGCCCAGTCTCTAAACTCCCAGTTCAATCTCCCACCCCATTCCTTGTTCCAAAAAACACAACAGGAACCAGAACCAGAATTAAGTCTAAGTGTTTAATTATGATTCACATATTTCACAGAGAAATGAATGTAGCAAATTGGTCAAGATTTATTAAAAAAAAAAATCCTGGATTTTACGGGTCACTCTATTTTTACTTTGGAGTAGGGCCATCCTGACATCAGGCACAGCAGCTGCACTTGTCCAAGGCCCCTTTGCAGATGCAGCCCTGGGCACACTTGGCACAGCCCACAGGGCAGCAGGAGCAGCAGCCTGGGGAGGAAGGGAGAGTGAGAGGTCAGAGCAGACTCCACCAGAGACCTCCCTGCCCCAACAGAGGCCGATCTCCATCCCTCCCTCCAGCCCCAGAGGACCATTATTTCAGGATGGCATGGTTTTGTCAGGAGACAACTGGTGGACATTGGAGTGGGTCTTCCTTTGAGAAAGCTGCCCCATCCCACATAAGCCCTGGAGAGGGCAGAAGACTAGACAGGCAGTGACAGCCTACAGGGACAAAGGAAGGCCAGTTCCCCAGAAGCAAGCACTCAGGGCCAGCCTTGGGTTCCCTCCCAACCTTAGCCACAGCCCCAGATTCCTGGAGATGGCCCCGCACTCACTCTTCTTGCAGGAGGGGCATTTGCACTCTTTGCACTTGCAGGAGTCGGCGCAGGTGCAGGAGTCACCTGCAAGGAAGAGAAAAAGCCAGCGAGTGGTGAGTGAGATGCAGAAGATACAGCAGTGGGTCTATGAGTGTCCAGTTCCCCCTTCTCTGTGCAGGGCCAGCCCTCAGAGCTCCTTTCCCACTCAGCAGAGAAAGAGAAGCCCCATGTCCTCTCCCTTCATGCTAGGAAAAACAAGCACCCTCCTATTTATACTCCAAAGGAAAGTCTCACTCTAGACACGGCCCAGGAAGACTGAGACTTCGATTTTCTGTCCTGAACCCCGAAGAGGCAATGTCCCCTCCCATGCGATGTATCCTATCCAATCTGGTTGCTCAGAGTCAGGTTAGAGAATTGGGGCTCAGCCAGCAGCCCTGTGACCAACGGGGTGACGTGGAGCAGGACTGCCTTGAGCCTCAGGACCCTCAACTCTGACACAGAGGTGCAGGGAGGAGGAAAATGCTCTCAGGAGCTTGGCCAAGAAGAAAGCACTGGACCAATAAAGGAGTCCCCCTCACCTCAGATCGCAAAATGCGACCTCCTCAAACCCAGGGACACTCTCCATGGTGTCTGGGGATTTGGCATTCCAAGACACAGAACCTGGGCGCCCCTTACCAGCGGAGCAGGAGCAGTTGGGGTCCATTGCAACTCGAGGCGAGACTGGAGTTCCCAAGCGAGAAGGGAAGAGGCAGTGGTGCACGTGGAAGGCGTGGTGAAGCTCAACAGCCAGCGACTGCTTTTATAGTCAAGACAGTGGGTCGGGCGCAAACGCCCCTCCCCGCCCTTGCACCCGCCCCGCTGAGTCCATACCGCGCGCGTTCCTGGACTGGGCTGTGTGCAGGAAATGGGCCAAGTGCAAGGTCCCTTGAGAGCAGCTGGTGCACAACGTGGGACCGCCCCTTTCGCACCGGCTCGCGAGGGAGGCGCCGTGCCCCCCGTGCGCAGGTTTCTCTCACCCTGCCGGGCCTTCCCAGCTTCCCTGAGGTTGCCTGCTACACCCGCCCATTGGCGTTCCGCCTACCAGTATTCTGGCTTTCCACCAAACTTCACCAATGCCGAGGTCTCTAGTCAATTGCTAAGCCTTTCCTGGAGTCAAGGGCAACCCCAGTCTTATGCTCCACTTTCTGGATCTGCCAAAGCAAGGAACATAGTAAGGGACTAGTGTGCAAAGGGTAGATTAAGGGTGCGAACTTCACATCTCTGGCCTTATCCTCCCTGTCCCGGTTCCTACTTCAGTCCTTTGGCCACGTTTCTCCTCTACACAGCAACAGGGAATACACAGGGCTCTGCCTCTCTCTCTTCCATTCTCCACTCTTGAGGGGCTGAATGGACCACATTTGTCCAGGTCCTCCTTTGCATAAATCTCTTCAGGGTCTCCCCACGGCTTAGCCGGGTACCCCACTACAGGATGGCAGTTTTGAAAGTGTGGGGTGTCCCTAGAAGAGGGATCCTTGAAGGTGATATGAAGATCCTGCATTAAATTAGAAAGCAAGAGAGTTTTATTTTTCCTTTCATGTTCCTATTACTCTACATTACATGGGTCTGTGTTTGGTCTTGTTTAGTCACTTTCTGTCTTTAAACCCTCACAGCAACCATAAAGGGACATGCATTCTATTTATGAACCCGTATTCCTAATCTGGACAATGACAATACAAGGAGTTCAAGCCACAAGCCCAGGGTCAGGGAGCTGGGAAGTGGCACTGATGGGTGTGAATCCTGTCAGCTTCTCAAGGGAGAGAGGTCAGTGATGAAGTTTCCCTATGGCCTAGGTATGTTCATCTCTTCACTGATTGAAATCTTTAAACAAAATCAAGCATCAAGGTCAGTGCTGGAAGCAAAACAGAGACATGGAGGGATATGAATAAGCATACTTTGATGGGAGGGAGGCAGGGCCCTGTGTCTTCCGTGTTGCTGTGCACAGGAGAAACGTGGTGGAAGAACTGAGGTGGGGACGGGAACAGGGACAGGCAATGCCAGAGATCCCAAGATCGCATCCTCCGCCTGTCCCTTGCACACTACTCCCTTGCTATGCTCCCTCCTCCCGCCAATCCAGACAGTTGAACAAGAGACGGGGGTTGCACTGGAACTCCAGGAAAGGCTTAGCTGTTGAGAAGGGAGTGGGCAGGCCCGGGGGTGTGGGGCGCAGGTCACGATCTCGGGGCACGCGGAACGCCAAGGAGCGGGAGTAGCAGGTAATCTCGGGGAACTAGGAAGGCCCGGCAGGGTGAGAGAAGCAGCTCACCCGGGTGCACAGCGCCTCCCTCGCGAGCCGCTGCGAAAGGGGCGGCCAGGCGGTGCGCACCGACCTGCTTGCGCTCAGGGTGCTTTGCGCCCGGCCCTTCTGCTGCGCGCAGACTGTCCCAGGACCGCGGGCGGCTGGGACTCAGCAGCGTGAGTGCAAGGGCGGGGCGGGGTCTCTGCTCCCGGCCCCCTCCCCGACTATAAAAAGAATCGTTGGCTGTGGAGCTGCACCACGCCTTCCACCTGCTCCACCGTCTCTTTACTTCTCCCTTTGGAACTCCAGTCTCACCTCGGCTTACAATGGACCCCAACTGTTCCTGCGCCGCTGGTAAGGGGCCCCGGATTCTGTCTTGGGATGCCAAATTCCCATACACCATGGAGAGTGTCCCTGGGTTTGAGGAGGTCGCATTTTGCGATCTGAGGTGAGGGGACTCCTTTACTTCTTCCAGTGCTTTCCTTTTGCCGAAGCTCCTGAGAGCTTTACCCTCCTCCCTGTGCCTCTGTGTCACAGTTGAGGGTCTTGAGGCTTAGGACTGTCCTGCTCCACATCACCCCGTTGGTTACGAGGCTGCTGGCTGCGCCCCAATTATCTAACCAGGCTCTGAGCATCTGGATTGGATGGGAGGCAAGGGACATTGCCTCTTCGGGGTTCAGGACAGAATGTGGAAGTCGCAGTCTTCCCGGGCTGTGCCTGAAGCCTGGGACTTACTTTGGAATACAAATGGAGGGTGCTTGGTTTTCCCAGCATGAATGGAGAGGACATTGGGCCTGTCTTCCTCTGCTGGGTAGAAAAGGAGCTCTGAGGGCTGACCCTGCACAGAGGAGGGGACACTGGACACTCATTGACCCACTGCTGTACCTTTTGCATCTCATTCACCACTCACTGGCTTTTTCTCTTCCTTGCAGGTGTCTCCTGCGCCTGCGCTGGCTCCTGTAAGTGCAAAGAGTGCAAATGCACCTCCTGCAAGAAGAGTGAGTGCGGGGCCATCTCCAGGAATCTGGGGCTGTGGCTAAGGTTGGGAGGGAACCCAAGGATGGCCCTGAATGCCTGCTTCTGGGGAACTGGCCTTCACTTGTCCCCGTAGGCCTTCCTCTGGCCCCGAAAGGCAGCAGCACTGTCTTTCCAGTCTTCTGCTCTGTCCAGGGTTCCTGTGGGGCTGGGCAGTCTCTCACAGGAAGACTCACTCCAACATCCACCACTTGTCTCCTGACAAAGCCGTGTCATCTTGAACTAAGGATCCCCGGGGGCTGGGGTCTGATCTCGAGTGAGGCCTGCTGTTGGGACAGGGAGCTCCCTGGTCAAGTCTGCTGTGACCTTTGTCTCCCTTTTTCCCCAGGCTGCTGCTCCTGCTGCCCCCTGGGCTGTGCCAAGTGTGCCCAGGGCTGTATCTGCAAAGGGGCATCAGAGAAGTGCAGCTGCTGCGCCTGAGGTCGGGACTGCCCTGCTGTCAGATGAAAACAGAATGACACGTAAAATACAGGATTCTGTTTTCTACAACCGCGACCCATTTGCTACATTCCTTTTTCTGTGAAATATACGAATAATAATTAAACACAGACTTGATTCTGGTTCTGGTTTCTGTGTTTTTTTTGGGAATAAGGGACTGGGGTGGGAGATTGAACTGGGAGATTAGAGACTGGGCTCTGGATGGAAATGTGAGCGTCTAACAGTCTGAGTGCCTTCAGGCAAGCCCAGTTACATCACAGACCTCCATCTTCTGTAAAATGCACCTGCACTGTGCCGGATCATGCTTCCATATGAGCATGGAGACATACGCGATCAGCTCCAATCATGTTAAATGTGGCACAGGGACTTCTCCATTCCTCATGTTTATTCTCAGGTTTCCCTGACCAAGTTCAGTTCCTCAGCAGATTTTAGGCTTGAAAGTGACCACAGTGGGTGGATTCCAATGCCTGAGTTGCTTGAATCCTATACGGGGCTTCTCACACTCCATGGCGAAGAGACAGTTCTCATTTTCTATCCATCCCAGATATAAACCTTTGTAAATAAAGTAATATTAATTATGAAGATAATGAAACACAAAATATAGAACCCACTTGTTACATTTTACACAAAAAAAACTCAATAAATAAACAAATAACAGAAAAATGGAAGATTTACAAACTCTGCACATACGTTCATGGATGATTTGCATTGCAGACTGGAAACAGCAGACTGGCCCCACTGTGGACCACACACCTTCAGCAGCACAGGCCAGGACATTCTCATGAGGAACCATCCGGCTTGGCCTAGCCAGCGTCACAGACAGCACACTCAGGACACTCGCTGAACCCTGAGAGCTCCCTGTTGGAACTTGGCTCTGAATCTTTGGAAATTCCTCCCAAGTTCAGGCTGAGTTTGTTCCTCTTTCAAGTTCCATTCCTTGACTACTTCAAACCAGCATATTCCCAGCAAGATGTATTTCCAAGGCACACAAAGAAAACCAGAGCCAGCATTAAGTCAACAATTTTATTATCATTCACATATTTCATAAAAAATAATACAGTAAATGGGTCAGGGTTGTATGGAAAAAATTCCATGTTTGTGCAGGTCGCTCTTTCTACATCTTCCAGTAGGGCCTTCCCGACATCAGTCTCAGCAGCTGCACTTCTCTGATGCCCCTTTACAGATGCAGCCCTGGGCACACCTGGCACAGCTCACGGGGCAGCAGGAGCAGCGGCCTGGGGAAGAAGAGAGAATGAGAGGTCAGACCAGACTTGACCAGGGAATTCCCTGCCCTCAAACAGGCCTGGCTCAAGCTCTGTCCCCAGCCCCAGAGGACACTTAGTTCAGGATGGCATGCACTGTTGGAGATGGGCGATAAGTGGCGGATCTTTCCAGTGAGGGTCTTCTGTGAAAAGCTTCTTATCCACATCTGAGCCCCAGACCTGGCAGAAGGCTGGAGAGGCAGTGACTGGGGTTATCAAGGGCAAAGGAAGGCTGGCTCCCCAGAACCATACACTTAGGTGAGGAAAGTTCTTAGGTGTCATGTCTGTGCTTGGCAGGCTGGTGCACGCTCTTGGCCTTAGTTTGTCTATTTTAAGAATGAAATTTGGGAATCAATCATGTCTAAGGATCTGGCTCTGATCCTGAATCAGTTGCTAGGGAAGGGGAGATGGGAAATTGACCGCTGGCCTACTCCTGCCTGCTGAGCTCTGGGTTCCTGCCTCTGACTTTGCTCAGCCCCAGATTCCTGGAGATGGCCCCGCATTCACTCTTCTTGCAGGAGGTGCATTTGCACTCCTTGCACTTGCAGGAACCAGAGCAGGTGCAGGAGCCACCTGCAAGGAAGAGGAAAAAAGCAGTGAATTTGCTGCAGAAGATAACAGCAGTTGGTCAACAAATGCTCCCAACTGAGTGCATTGCCAGGCCGGATAGATAGATAGCTCCTGTCCAACTCAGGGCACCATGAAGCCTGACCTTACTTCTATCCCTAGAGGTTAGGATGGGCTTTATGTCCTTAATCCTGAAAAGGCAACAACCCCTGACTAACCCCTGTCTCCCATCCATCCCAGGAACTGCACAGAGTACTGGGGCTCAGCCTAGCAGCCCCCGACTACCTGGGTGACATGGAGCAGGAGAATTATGAGCCTGAGTCCTCTCGCCTCTGAAATGGGAGGTATTAGAATAGGAATGTTCTAGGGGTGATGAAGGCGCTGAGAGGAAAAGCACTAGATCAATGAAATAAATGGTTCCACTTAGCTAGAACTCAAAAAACACCTCTACTCCTAGGGGCATCGATCCTGTGGCGGGGAAATAGGTACCCTAAGGACCAGAAACCCAGGATCCCTTACCAGTGGCGCAGGAGCAGTTGGGGTCCATTTCGAGCCGCGGTGAGGCTGGAGATCCCAAGCAAGAAGTTGAGAGCCTATAAGGCGCATGTGCAAGGCGTGATGGGGCCCCACAGTCAGCGACTGCTTTTATATTCAGGGAAGAGGGCCGGGCGCAAAGGCCCCGCCTCGCGCTTGCACCGGCCCTGCTAAGTCCGCCCCGTCAGCGGTCCTGGACTGGGCTCTGCGCAGCATAAAGGCCAGGCGCACAGTTCCCTGAGTTCTGTTCGGTCCGAACCGTGGGACCACCCCAAAACTTTGGCGCCCGCTCACGCGGCAATGGCTGTCCACCCGGGGTACGCGGCGTCCCCGAGGTCCTGGATACCTTTCCCAGTTTCCCGGTGGTTGCCTTTCACCCTAGTCCCCGTGCATTCCAGGAACTCAGCCTTGGCGTCTCGGTAGTCTCCACCGCACCCCTCACACCGTTTTCAGCTAGGCCTGTCCCTAAGTCTGTGCAGCCACAGCCTTGTGCTCCGGTCCCCGAATTGGCTGAGTGCGGAGCCGGGAGCGTGAGGTAGAGAGCGAGCTGTGTGCAGAGCACCCGCCACCAATATGACTTTCGTTTCTCCTCGCCCTCGCCTTGCCTGTACCTGTCCACACCTAGGTTCCTGGGACTCGCTCCTCCCTACACAGCAACACGTGGAACACGGGTCGGCCTCTCTCTCCCGTCCACTAGCCTCGCCTGAGAGATGTGGGGGACGGTGCCTGGCTCTTTTAAACAGCCAGCTCTGGGGTGACCTAGCAGAGTGAGAGATCACTCTTCACCATGGGATGGCACCAAGCCATTCTTTAGGGATCTGTCCTCATGACCCCAAAAGCTCCCACCAGGCTCCACCTGCAATATTGGAAGTCAGATTTCAGCATGAGATTTGGCAGTGACAAGACATCCAAATCATAGCACCCTTGTAGGATTCAAGGAACTGAGGAGTTGAGTGCCAGCACTGTAGCCACTTTTAAGCCTCAAATCCAATGTGGATCTGAGGTTGGGCAGGAAAATCAGAAAATAAAAATGAGGGACGCAGTTTCTGTGCTACATTTGGCATGAGACTGGAAGCAATCGTGTATGGTCCCCACCCATATTGTGTGCACAGTGCAATCCCATTTTACAGAAGTGTGAACTCAGTGAAGTAATCTGGCTGGCCTGAAAGTCTTCACAATGTTAGTGGCTCACATTTCCATCCAGAGTCTGGTATCCAAACTCGCAGTTTAACCCCCTCCCCATTCCATTTTTTCCAAAACACACAAAGAAGACTAGAGTAAGATTCAAGTCAAAATTCTTTTATTGCCATTCACATATTTAATATAAAAAACAATGCAGAAAATGACTCAGGGTTATATTAAAAACAACAAAACCCTCCAGGTTGTGCAGGTTGCTCTATTTACATCTGGGAGCAGAGCTGTCCCCACATCAGGCACAGCAGCTGCACTTCTCCGACGCCCCTTTGCAGACGCAGCCCTGGGCACACTTGGCACAGCCCACGGGGCAGCAGGAGCAGCAGCCTGGGGAAGAAGGGGAGAGTGAGAGGTGGCAGTAGACTGGACCAGGCACCTCCCTGTCCCAATAGCAAGCCTGGCTCGAGCTCAGACGCCAGACCCAAAGGATGCTTTTTTCGTCTGGCACAGCTCTGTTCTGAAACCATAGGGGGTACAGTTGGGGTTTGTGTCCCAAGAGAAACACGCTTCCCTGCTCCTTCTGAACTCAGGGCAGAAAGCCTGGAGAGGGAATGAAATGGCAACGAGGTCAAAGAAATCCCAGTTCCCCAGAAGGATGCACTCACTGTCAGCCTTGGGTTCCCTCCCAACCTTAGCCACAGCCCCAGATTCCTGGAGATGGCCCCGCACTCACTCTTCTTACAGGAGGTGCATTTGCACTCTTTGCACTTGCAGGAGCCAGCGCAGGCGCAGGAGACACCTGCAAGGAAGAGAAAAACTCAGTGGGCAGTAAGTGAGATGCAGAAGGTGCAGCAGTGGGTCAATGAGTCTCCAGTGCCCCCTCGTCTGTGCAGGGCCAGCCCTCAGAGTTCCTTCCCCACTCAGGACAGAGGAACAGAAGCCCCATGCCCTCCTCCCTCACGCTGGGAAGGGCAAGCACCCTCCTGTTTCCCCCCACCAGGAAGGTCCCTGTTGCACACCCCACCCAGGAATACTGAGATTGCGAGCCACAACCTTCTGTCCCGGAATCCTGAAGACTCTATGCGTCTAGCCCCCTCTCCACACTGATTGCTCAGAGCCTGGAGAACACTGGGGCCCAGCCAGCAGGACCCTGACCAACTAGATGACATGGAACAGGACTGCCCTGCGCCTCAGTATCCTTAACTCTGACTTAGAGGCCCAGGGAGGAGGGCAGTGCTCTCAGGTGCGTGATCAGGTAGAAAGAACCTAAGGAAGTAAAGGAGCCCCCTTCGGCTCCGAACCTAAAATGCGACCTCCTCAAACCCAGAGACCCTCTGCACTGGGGCTGGAAAATAGGAAACCCAGGGCGCAGAATCGGGCTTCTCTTACCAGTGGCGCAGGAGCAGTTGGGGTCCATTTCGAGCCGCGGTAAGGCTGGTGATCTCAAGCGAGAAATGTAGAGACGGCAAGGCGCACGTGGACGGCGAGGTGGAGCGCCACAGCCTGCTGCTGCTTTTATGCTCACGGGAGGGGGCCGGGCGCAGAGGCCCTGTCTCGCGCTTGCACCCTCCCCACTGGGTTCGCGCCGCCCGCGGTCCTGAGCTGGGCTGTGCGCAGCAGTAGGGCCGGGGGCACCATCCCTGGAGCTCCGCTGGGACGCGCGTCGGGACCGCCCTTTTGTCCCGCGTTCGCACGGGAGGCGCTGTGCGTCCGGCGGTACGGGATGTCCCGGAGGTCCTGGCCGCCTTTCCCAGTTTCCGCGAAGTTGTCTTCTACCCTCCTCCCCGCGCTTTCCGGGACCCCAGCTTTGGCGTTGCGGGCGTCTCCACCCCACCCCTCGCCCGGCCGTTTTCAGCTGGGCCTGTCCCGGAGTCCGGGTGCCGCCCTCCTGCTCCAGTCCCGGTACTGGCTGAGTAAGGAGGGAGGAGTTGGCGGTAGCGAGGGAGTTGTGTGTAGAGCACCCGCCACCGAAGTGGCTTTCTTTTCTCCTCGCCTCCCGGCTTGCCTCTCCCTTTCCACACCGCGGTCCCTCGGACCCGCTCCGCCTTACACAGCAACACGGGGAACACGGGTCGGCCTCTATCTCTCCCGTCCATTCTCCTCGCCTGAGAGGATGTGGGGGCACATTTGTCCAGGTCCTCCTTTGCAGATAAGTTCCATGCTCCCCACAGCCGGCTGGCAGTTCTGGACATGTGGGATGTCCCCAAAGAGAGATGACTTCAGATGATATGCAGACCCTGATTTAAATTAAAAAGTAAGATGGGGAAGGTGGCAGGAAGCTGTAGTGGCAGCTGCTTAGGAGGCTGAGGCGGGAGGATCACCTGAGCCCAGGAGTTCGAGTCCAGCCTAGTCCACACAGGGAGTCAATGTCTCTAAAATAATAAAATTAAAAAGCAAGACATCCAGTTATTTCTCTTCAGTATAACTGACTATTGCATGACATTGAGTCTACACCAGTCCCTTTCTAATCACTTTCATTCTTTGACTCCTCACAGCAATCCTAAAGGAAAATACTAGTTATGAATCCGTTTTGCTAATCACAGGACTACAAAGGAAATGTCCAAGTAACTGACTGGTCGTCACAGAGGTAAACAGTTGTGCACTGATTTAAATCCAGCCAGCCTCTTAAAGGAAAGTGACTATGATCTAGTCTTCCTTTGGCCCAGGTATGTGGTCAACACTTCTCTATTGCTGGAAATCTTCTAAACAACAGGGACAGGCACCTTGGCCCCCACCTGTAATCCCAGCCCTTAGGAAGGCCGAGGCGGATGAATCACCTGAGATCAGGAGTTCGAGACCAGCCTGGCTAACATGGCGAAACCCTGTCTCCACTAAAAATACAAAAATTATCCTGGCATGGTAGCAGTCGCCTGTAATCCCAGCTACTGGGGAGGCTTAGGCAGGAAAATCGCTTCAACCTGGGAGGCAGAAGTGGCAGGTTGGGCCATTGTATTCCAGCTGGCTGACAGGGGTTAAACTCTATATCAAAAACAAACAAACAAAAAAACAAACCAAAAACCCTCAAATAAACAACAGGAAGCTACCAGCTTTACGAAGGACAGTGGCAAAAGCTATCCATAAGTGTAACACGCACACACTTACACATACACGCACAATAATTTGGGGCTGTCTTCCATGTGTGAGACAAGATTGAATTTCATTTTCTCAGGTTGAAAATAATTTGCTTTTCATAAAAATATATTTAATAAGTATTGATCATTTCAACATAAAGTATTAACTAAAAGATGTGCAGGTGGTAACAGAAATGGCCGTCATTCTTCTGTATCTGACATGAAGCAAGAATCTTCCTCATGGCTTTATAACCCTAGTGTTGATTACAATTTTATGGGAACACTGAATGGCTCTCTTTAGACCACAGGACGTGCTGGTGTGGTAGATGAGGGTACAAAGCTGAGTACCTCCAGACCTTTGTGTGCAAATAAATAAATATCCCCTATGCTCCATAAAATGAACAAAAAAAGCAATAGCTAATATTGTAGACCACCCACCCCTTGTACCATTCTAAGTTCCTTATATGTATTAAATCCTTTAATCCTATAAGCCAGAGGTTAGTATTATACCCCTTGTACAGTGGAAGAGACTGAACCACAGAGAGGTTGTGCCATGCAGCTAAAGGTAACAGAGGTGGAATTTGCACTTATCCATGCTGACGGCAGCATCATACACTCACCCACCACCCTCTGCAAGTCACATGAAAGATAAGGACACCGAAAATCTAGCACAGAGGCAGCAATAGGAAGTGCACTCTGTGGACAGTCAAGCACAGCTCTGTGGCCTCTCTGGGCTTCATTTCTCATCTGTCAAGCCAAGAGCAACATTCATCCATCCCAAAGAGTCTTGGTACCTTTGAACTGAGATAGGCCAGATTTAGCATCCAGTGGCATCATAATCTACCAGCTGTGGCCAGGGCCACAGATCAGGTGTAGCATAGGTTCATTCATCCCTTCATTTCTGAGCTATATGACATTTGATATGTTACTTAATTAATCTGGAAGACAACATAAGCACTCCAGGCCCTGCATATTTGCTGTCCCAGTCTTGAGGCCTGTGGCTGTCGTTCCTGAGGTCATGTGATCAGATGATATGAAGGATGGAAACGGATTTTATGTCTGCTCAAAGGTGGGGGCAGCATCTTATTGAAAAGCATTTTCTGTAGAAGGTCATCCACACTCCTCCTGGCAGGGTCAGCTTGGTTGCAATTCCATTCCCAGCATCCAATCCACACCAATGCTTTCAAACCCATAAGGTTTCTCTTAGCTTTGGGATTTAACAGGATTCATTTTCCAAAAAAACCAGTGTATAGAGAATGATCATAACTGCTATTATTTATTAAATCCTAGCCAGGGGCCAGACCATGTTGTCATTTAATCGCTGCTTTGGGATATAATCTGGTTTCTACAAATAAGGATTTGGAGGTTCAGAGAGTTTCAGTGATGCACTCAGGCCACACAGCCAGTACATAGTGAGGTGGGCTGTGAACCAGGACTACCTGACACCAAAACCCGTGCCCTAGGCGCAGGCTGCCTTCTGAAGTCTCCTCTTCACAGGGAAGCAGTGGGCAAGCGTGGTCCTGACCTCCAGGACAGAAGGATCATCTTCCTTTTTGATTGAACATCAAATAGCGTTTCCTCCACATAGCCAGGGGAACTCATCATTGGTTTTAATTACAAGTCAGCCAGGGCCTTACTCCTTCCTACTGAGCACCACTGCTTCCTCCAAACTGCAGAATCCGCCGTCATTCCTGCATGGGCGGGCATGAAGTATTCCATGTGGAACCCATGATCACACCCACTTCATTTTGCCAGGGACATGCCGGGCATGTCCTTCCATATTCCCAGTGACTTTACTGGTTGGAAGTAGTCAAGGGCTGAAATTTGAAAGAAGGGCAAATTCAGCCTGAGTTTGGGAGGAATTTCCAAAGATTCAGAGCCCAGTCACAACAGGGAGCTCTCAGGGGTCAGCGAGTGTCCTGTCAGTGACACTGGGCAGGCCAAGCCTGATGGTTCCTTGTGGGGGGATGTGCTGGGCAGTGCTGCTCAAGGTGTGAGAGCCACACACTGGGGCCAGTTTGCTGTTTCCTTTCTTTTCTTGTTTTGGGACGAGTCTCAGTTGCCCAGGCTGGACTGCAGTGGCACAATCGTGGTGCACCACAACCTCTGCCTCCGGGGTTCAAGCAACTCTTATGCCTCAGCCTCCTGAGTGGCTGGGATTACAGACGCATGCCGTCATGACCGATTTATTTTTTGTATTTTTAGTAGAGATGATGTTTCATCATGTTGCCCAGACTGGTCTTCAACTGCTAGTCTCAAGTTATCCACCCACCTTGGCCTCCCAAAGTGCTGGGTTTATAGGCCTGAGCCACTACACCTGGTCTAGTGTGCTGTTTCTGGTCTGCAATGCACATCATCATATGTTCAAAGTTTGTACATCTTTCATTTTCTTATTATTTCTTTATGGATTTATTGAATTTTTTCCCATTGGATCTAAAAAATGGGTTTTGTTTTTGGTGTTTTATTTCATTATCTCCATAGTCGATACTATTACATTTACCAAGGTTTAAGTCTGTGATGGATAGGAAATAAAAACTGTCCTTCACTAAAGTGTTTGAAAAGCCCCATTGTGCTAGCCTGTTTGCATTGCTCTAATGGAATCCCTAAGACTAGGTAATTTATAAAGAAAAGAAGTTTGTTTTGATTTCTGCTTCTGCAGGCTGTGCAGAGTGTGGTGCAGGCATCTGCTTCTGATGAGGGCCGCAGGAAGCCTGCAATCCTGGCAGAAGACCAAGGGGGAGCAAGTACATCACATGGAGAGACAGGGAGCAAGAGAGAGAAGGGGACGGTGCCTGGCTCTTTTAAACAGCCAGCTCTGGAGTGACCTACCAGAGTAAGAGATCACACTTCACTATGGGATGGCACCAAGTCATTCTTTAGGGATCTGTCCTCATGACCCCAAAAGCTCCCACTTGGCCTCGCCTGCAATATTGGAAGTCACATTTCAACATGAGATTTGGCAGTGACAAAACATGCAAATCAGAGCACCATTGAAGGATTCAAGGAACTGAGGAGTTGAGTACCAGCACTGTAGCCACTTTTAAGCCTCAAATCCAATGTGAATCTGAGGTTGGGCAGGAAAATCAGAAAATAAAAATGAGGGATGCAGTTTCTGTGCTACATTTGACATGAGACTGGAAGCGATCGTGTATGGTCCCCACCCATATTGTGTGCACAGTGCAATCGCATTTTACAGAAGTGTAAACTCAGTGAGGTATCCTGGCTGGGCTGAAAGTGTTCACATTATTAGTGGCTCACATTTCCATCCAGAGCCTGGTCTCTAAACTTGTGGTTTAACCCCCACCCCAGTCCATTTTTTCCAAGACACACAAAGAAGAACAGAGTAAGATTCAAGTCAAAATCCTTTTATTGCCATTCACATATTTAATATAAAAAGAAATGAAGAAAATGGCTCAGGGTTATATTAAAAACGACAAAAACTTCCAGGTTATTCAGGTTGCTGTATTTA